TGTGTGTGTCATGAATGCGTGTGCATGTGTGTGTTTTGGGGAGAAAGCTGGAGTTTTTTTGTGCATCGCAGCAGAAAAGGAGGTCAGGGTTTGCATGGAGACTCGGGTATTCATCATTAGCCTGCTGCCGCTGCTGGTAATGCTGCCCGTTACAGCCATGATTAAGAGCCCCGCTTAGTTCCAGCAGCCGGTGCAGATGCACAAACACAAGCGCACTTGTGCTGCACCGACACAGCTTTGGTACCTTTACAAAAAACTCCCTTTTACTCCATTGCCCAGGTCAGTGTGCATTCATGTGTGTGTGGGGTTGTTGTTTGGTGGCTGTACCGTGTGTGGCCTTGGGCAGGCTTATGGGTCTGATGAGAAACCTGTCACAGTCACTCATGAAAAGAGCAATTCACACACACACACACACACACACAGCAGGAAGTGGTATTTGGGAACCACACTGGATTAATGTACACTTCTTTTCCCATTTATTAAAGCAGGAAACGTATGCCACACCCGAATGCATCCAGACATACCAACCAATTCAAACTGAGCTGTTATATTTACAGTGATTACGAATATATCAAGCATATAAGATGCAGATTCAGCATGTGAAGGGTACGGCCACAGAAGAAAATGTATTAATTGAAAGACTCGCCGAACATTATCAGTACCAATGTCTCCGTTCAGTTCATGTGATCGGGTAACACACGTGTGACACTGAGCTATCATACACTGTACCAGGACCCTGAAACTTAAGCAGCTAAATCAAGTTCTGCCATCAATCATAGTGTTATGTACATTTGTGCTTTTCCTAATCTCATAGTTGTTTTGGTCTTGTGATTGGTTTGCATATTTTAAAGTGGGTGACAGCTTGGGTTTGAACAATTAGACCAAACAAACAAAAAGATGTAATGTCCCTCTGTTTTCATTTTCTCTCATCCCTCCTTCTCTTGTCCTCCCTGCTTTGCCTCTCCTCTCCTCCCCTCCAGCCGTTCAAGACAGTGTTCGTCACCTACGTCTTTGATAAGTTCACTCATCTGCAGCATCACAAGGAATGCAGCTTTGTGTGATACGCCTCCTCCTGGCCTGAGAAAATGAAAGACTAAGTACAAATAAAAATAATGTTTTTTGTCTTAATTATATTGTTTTTATACCAGTGCCAGATGTGATAATGCACACCTCGTGGAGACTTTTTTTTTTTTAAAGAAGAACCAGTTCACAGTGTTATGCTGTAGCATTTATTTACTGATAAATAGTGTAAACTGCAAAGACATTTCACTTGCTTGTTGGCCACAAAGTAACTGCCCCACTCACCAGCTGCACCATCTCATCCCAGTCCGTCACTATGCACACAGCTTACTTGTATACGACATGTGTAACAATATGTCTCTACCTCACTGCAGATCTTTCACAGAGATGATGGCTCACACTGTAATTTGCTTATTTACCGTTACTACTGATACTGGTAACACAGAGTATTGAAGTATTTTTTAAATGTGCAAGTACAATCTCCATGCACATACAGTATGTGCATGTGTACAATGATGGACATACCTGTAGGTAGCTAGTTGAGAGATTACAGGTTTAATCTTTAAAGGTCCAGTGTGTAAGATATAGGTGAAAGGAATCTATTGATATATAAAATAATGCTTTTGATTTTTTCACATGCCTCCATACTGCTCCTGTGGTGTTATCCAAATGTCTGAACACCGACTTAAAACGGCATCATTTACACCATTTGTTAACCTTAATGTTCTGATATCGTCCTCTGTAGCCACGTTTGCACGCACACACTGCACACACTCTCTTACCTAAGGGTACGCACGGGGTGAGTGGTAGCACCGCTCCTTCTGGTCACGGACACTTGGATGACACCACAGGAGCAGCCAAAGCCAAGAGTGAAACCTATAAGATAAATGATTCTGGAGATTTGTGAGCCAGCGACATGAGACGGACTGAGATTTCTGGAATTATTAGATTGATGGCATAGAGTCTTTGAGAGCCATAATTACCAATGTATGAACTAAACAGTGGCTGATTATGCTGGGTAGCATAATAATCCACCCACCCACCCATCCATCCAGCCATCATGTACTGACATTGGATGTGTGGGGGGGTACAGGTCGCCAGCCTGGGGCTTTAATCTAGAGACAATCATTTGCATCCATGGGCAATTTGGAGTCACCATTACATTTTAGACTGTGGCAGTAAAGCATAAGAGTATGTGAAGAAATTCAAGGCACAGGGGGACATGCTATCTACATAAAAAGACTCTGACTGGACTGGGATACATACATGTGATATCCCAGAAGAGTCAGGAAACCATGAACTGTGCACATTTGAGCTGAAACCAGTGAATTTCCACCATTTATGTTTGAAGACTATTATTCATGTATCAATTGTTATGGTTCTTAAAAACATCCTTCACAGATGTACATCATCCTTTTTACACTGAAACATTTATAAAGACTTTTGAAGCTTATGTAAAGTGAGGGACTAAATTATTCAGACCAACTCTGAACTTGTGTGGAAGTGAAGACTACACATGACAGCTCCTCCTCCCAGGCCCTGAGGCAGAACTTCGTCATGAAGTTGTCTGTTTTGATGGTGGAGTATAAAGTGAGTTCAAAGTCTGAACTCTTCATCATCATCACTCACCATCTCTGGCACAGACGTGACACTCACACATGACGCAAAAGTTTTATCATTAAATCTTGCGGTAAATTCCCTTACACAGAATTCACTCTTCCGTCCTCACTCACCTGGTTTTCCTTTCTTTCCTCTTGGTCCAACTCTTTTTTCCCCTCTTCTCCCTCTCCTCCGTGTTGCTGGCATTCCCCTGGGCCTGTGCTATAAGGCGTGGAAGAGGAGCAGAGACAGAGCATTTAGTAATGGCTTCTTAATGGGCTTGTCGACAGCCACATTAGAGCGCACAGGCAGCGGGCGAGGCCGGGCAACGATATGCCAAGCCAGATGCCGTGCCAGCTGTGGCACTCTGCTCTCTCACTCATGCTCTCATTTGTAATCACATTTCTCATACGGATGGACGCCATGTGCGTAAAGGAGAGAAAGCAGACAGACAGGCAAGTCCCCTCCCAGTTCCTGTCTGTATATTCTCTTCATCTGCTCTGCTCATTGTTTCTATCACTTTCTTCTTCACACTTTTAATTCATAGTAGAGGACTCACCATTTCATTTATTGCAATCTTAAAAACCTGCTAAAACATTGAAAAAGAGGTACTTTGGGTAAAGAAACACAAAGCAATCCTCGAGTGAACACGTTTTAAAGAACTTTCGTATTTGAAGAATATTTTGTGTGACCCATAACTTTCAAATTTTTTAAATTTAAACTGTTTGATTAGGGTATTCTACAATTGTTTTATTTATTTCAATTAATTTATTTTCAATCATTTTGCTAAACAGCTGTTTTGTGTACTAACTTCTCTTCCTATCTTATCACCCTGTCTCTAAATTGGTTATTTTATTGAGTTAATTTCTCACATATGGAAGTTAAACCTAAACTATAAAAATAAATAGTTAATCTTCCAGAGTAAAGGGTCCATTAGGGGTTGATTCTCAGTCCGATTTATTATCTATTGAAAGATGTACATCCTAAGAGGATATGATACATAGATTCACTGAGCCTTTTTCTACAGTAACAACTACAAGGCTGCATTGATTTTTGCATCACAGGGTTGTAAAAGGCCTAACAATCTGATTTAAACAGGAAAGAAAAAAACAAAAGGAGACTTGAAAACATGAGGTAAATGTATAATTTAAAGAGCAGGGATTAAAGTTGAGTATAATACAAGTTTAGCAACTAAATGAACAGGAATCTCATGCAGGAAGGAAAGAAGGAAGGGTATGATAAAGTAAATGGAAAAGGAAGCCGGAGAGAGGGAGGAGTGATTAAATGAATAGATGGATGATTGAATCAATTAATGAATGTTAATGTGCTACATTGTAACCAGGGACCGGAATGTCATTGCCAAAGGTCTTATAGGTCTCCAGTAGGGGGAGCTATGTGTCAGTGACTCCAGTCTGTGTCAAAGACCTTCATCAGTACAAGTGTGTGTGTGTGTGTGTGTGTGTGTGTGTGTGTGTGTGTGTGTGTGTGTGTGTGTGTGTGTGTGAAAGACTGAATAGTCAGAAGGTGGTTCTTTGTTTCCCCATCTGATCTGATCTCGTTGCTACCAAACCAAATTTCCCTGCGTCAGCGATGATCAAGTGTGATGAGGACGCAAAGAGAATGAGGTGTGTGTGTGTGTGTGCGTGCCTGTGCATGAGTGTTTTGTTCATCTGTGCGTGGCAAGCCGTTCATCTACATTGTGTGTGTTTATGTATTGGCAGCTGATAGTATTTTAGGAGCTGAAGCCCATATACAGACTGGTGGCCCTCTACACCATATCGACAGCTGCCAATTGTCACTGCTATGACTGACAGTTCTGTATTGATGGACGGGACCTGCTGACAGAGAGATGGAGGACAAAACAAAACGAGACAGAGGACCATTGCTAGAGAGGGGTATAGGAGAGAAGAAAGACTGGCTGGGTATACTGAAACTTTCTCAAGGTTATGGGAAGGAGAGAAGGAGAGGAGGAAGGAAAATGTCGAACCTGGGTCTGGATCAGTTCACGTTCAGCTCTGTCATGAGGGTAAGTTTTCTTTAGAATTCCAAAATTGAAAATTGTTCATATACCAAGGTTTCACTCACTTAACCAATGTGTCGATAGTGGATATATGTCATTTAGATTCAAAGTACATTTCCACAGAATCAGAAACATGCAGACTAATTGCAATATAATAATAATAATATATTATTGTCACTTCTCTTGTACAGTTCTGTATAAGTATTTTGGAATTTTGACTTGTCATGGGGGGGGGGCAGTAGTTCAGAGGATTTGACCATGGGCTGGAGGTAAGAAGTGAAGAGGATGCACTCGTTTTTTTCCGGCCTCCTCTCTTTTTTTGACAAGACTGTGTAAGCGAGAAATGGGGAGGTAGAATGGCAAAGACATGCAGCAAGAGGCCGGGTGAGAACCAAACCTGCAGCAGCTACAGGAGGACTCACGCCTCTGTATGCAGGATGTGATCTGCTATAGGCTGTATGCAGTGTGGTATTAAATACATTCTAAAGGAGCAATACAACATGATTTGTCTGAGTACAAAAACCTTAAGATTGGCCTTTTGACTCACTGATTGGGGGATTTCCTGGTTACTGATTGGCCTCAGTTTTTGTTTGTTTGTCTGCATACTAATATAAAAACTCCAGTCTGAAAGATTTGGTAACTCTACTGATGTTAAGCTGCTTTGTTGCTGTTTTTGCTGTTTCGCATTGTTGAGGCAAAGTAGTTTTGGACTGATCTGACATTTTTGTGTCTTCTTATTGACCTTCGCAGCCTTTCTTCAACACACACACACGCACCTTACCAACACAATATATTGTACATACACACACATACACTACACCCTCACCTCAGGAAACTTGTGGCTAATTCCATTAGTGGGAGGAGAGAGTATGTAAATGAGGGGCGACAGCTGGTGGTGAAGGGAGGTTGATGGAGTGAGCCCGGGGGCCCAGAGACTTACACCCACACTCTGAAAAAAACAGAGGGGGTGGGGGGTTGTACTGTATTATATTATTGTACAGCTACACCTAAATTCCATTTTTTGCTCCAACAAAATAAGGAAAAGTTTGCATGAAGTGTTAACAGCAGTGATTTCTTATTTTGTCTGTGTCCAAATCTGATTGCACAGGAGATACGGAGGATGTCAGTCCAGCGTGTCAAAGTGGGATGAGAAAGATGATTGTGTAGATAGATGGAGTGACAGATAAAGGGAAGGGATGAGGGAACCATCACAGATGCTGTGTTTATCATTCAGGAACCTCTTGTGATGCTCACTGCTCAGCTTACACACACACACACACACACACACACACACACACACAGGTGATGGTCATAATCCTATTGTGTATCTGCAGTGACCACAGTACAGGACTCTCATCACCTGTCACCCCACGCATGCATGCACACACAATATAATCCTCTGAGTAACTGTGATGGAATTTAGAGGGGATTTAATTTTTCATTAA